ATATAAAATTATAAAAAAAGCCTATAATATTTAATTTTTTTATGAACATTAATCTAATAATGCAGAGAATCAATTCCAAAGCGATTTGAGATTTCCATTGATTTTGTAATACGATCATTAATTTTTAATTATGAAATTCTTTGAAATTTAAATGAAACTGTAATATGAAATTTTTTAATGATGTGTTGATGCCGTATTTCATATTTATTCTGGATAATTTTCAATGCAAATGAAGGTTTCGACATCATTACCATACAGCTTCATTTCAACAGAGATTCTCAGAAATTCAGTTATAGGTTTGAAAAAAAAATTAATAGGACATTCACTACTTTGGAATCGCATCGGAAATGAGTAGTTCTGAAAGAATTCCTCAACCATTTCCACGGACAACGGGCTGTCCATAAAAAATTCATTAATAGATTTTTCCAAACTTCCTTTCCCTGAAACATCTGTAGATGGTTTTATACCCAATTCATTTTTCGGTACGATTGAATCAATGAAATAATTCTCTGATAACATTGAATACAAAAAAAAAGTATTTCTGTTTTAGATTTGAATGGTGTTACGAGTGCATGACTGGTAGGTTTTCTGTAGTTCAAAGTTCTTAAATTTCATTCCCTATAATTCCTTCATTTTTTTCCAGCAAATGTTCGCGTGGATATATCATATATCCGATTACGCCATCATAATTTCTGTTATCTTGCTTGATTTTTTTCCTGAAGTCATTTTTATTTTCCAATTCTACCAGACTTGGTCTTCAAGGTGTTTAATTCAAAATGGGTGAAAAATATGAATTTACATCCACCTATTCAGATCTGATTTTTAATTTTTTAAATTATGTCCCGCATTCCATTTAACCCGAGTCTTCCCTGTAACCCATTTTTTCGTTAATCTCTGAATTTTCCTAAAATTGATTTGTTATGATTTATGATTTGTTAACATACCCAAATGTGAGATTTGCTTGAATAATAGTTAATTGTAGTTTAGAAAAGGAAAGAGCTAAGACTCACCGATGACTCTGATTGTACGAACTCTTGACGAGTTTCATAGCGAAGAGAAATTGAATGGCGCACACCAGAAGACAGCAGAGATTGAGTGACAATGCCAAAGCACAAAGTCCCAGGGTTACTTCATAAACAATGGTATACTCCTCAGGGCTGATCAAACTGCTGGGTGTGACACTCAACGGTGACATCTTCAGCAGAAAAATATGCGACAACATAGCCAACAGCAACGAGACAAGACAGAGCAGTCCAAGAAATGTTAGCATCTCCTTGACACCATCCTCTGGATTCTTATTACTGAGACTTCCCTTTCCTTTGAGACAGAAAGACGTCCAGGAATTATCTAGCACCGGTACAACTTGGCCAGCACTTGTTCCGGAGATGGTTGCAATCTGCTGCAAAGGAACAGGTGGATGACCAGGAACAGGTGGAGAAGGTGTAGTTTGGCTGGGTAATCTCGATACCCTTGAAATATCAAGACCACCGTTCACCTGTGGCCTGTCCTGCAGGTGTGGAGCCATCACTCCATGACCAAGATGATGATGATGATGATAATGTGGCAATGAGTGATTTGTCGATGGATGAATGTCATTACCAACAACTGGACTCGCACTGTCTATCGAGTGCTTTGATGTTGATAGGGTTGATAGATTCAGTCCGTGAGAATGATTCAATCTTGAGATATTGTTGACACTCAGCTGACTGTGAGTCAGGGGGTGACGGTGGACTGATGGCTCTCGTATTTTCGTTAGTGGATGGAGGGAGTCGTATATACCAGATTGATCGTGACACCCACGGGGTAGACGTGTTGATCCTGTTGTTGGCTGACCTGTTGTGAAGTGCTGGTGATTGCTGGAGATGGTTTGGCTACCGTAATCATTTTGGTGAAGGTGGATGTTGTGGATGCTGTGGTTGTGAGGGTGATGGTGATTTCGAGAGCCATTCGAGGACGGCTGAACCGTCGGTATGTGCTTTAGCATCACTTGGGGCTTGACGAGGGATTTATCGATCTTTTCTTTTTTGCAAAATCTGGCAGAGTCACGTCTATGGGGGGGAGGGAGTCTCTCTTGAACCGTTCATTTTGGCATTTAATCGGTGGGAAAGGGGGCTGGGCATTCTGAATTTTCTTTAGATTCGTTGGTGAATTTGAACTCGTGTTCACTGGTTTTTTGGAGGGAAGATCGTTGGATGGGGATGATAACCCGAGTCTGGTCCCACGGGCTCATCTGCGGTTGTTTTCTTGTCCCTGTGGAGAGAAAATGACTTTTAGCTCATATGGTTTTGGGGAATTCGAGAGGCTTCGGGTAATTGAGAAATCGACATTGGGGAAACGAGTTTTCTGGGATGTGGTGAGTGATATTGAGAGTCATACGCTGGGAGGAGACATTAGTTAACAAAACGACCTGGGTATGAATTTCAGGAGAGTATCGGGATCGCTCTGGAGATGCATGTGGGTTCGGGTTGCCGGTTGCAGAGGTTCAGGTGCACGGGGTCTTGCAGGTTTTTATGAGACGCTTCATAAATATTGGCAAAGAAAAAAAGATCACTAGAAATTGGAAATGTCTTTCTTCCATGAAATCTCATGATCTCCGCATTTCAAAATTTTACATAAAAATTATAAAAATTATTATATATCAATTCATAAAAATTCGAATAACTGGGGAATTATCAATGTTGTTCTAAATAATTAGTTAACTGACTTAGTTAATTAATTAAGCATCAATTGTCGTAATCCTCATGAAAGATTTCATAAAATTCGGTAATTAGTAATTAATATTTCTAAAAAATTCAGATAATTAGCCGTAAATCTAAGATTGTAAAGAGCTGATGATTTTGAACTTTAAACTGAAACATTAATTTTCTAGCCGTGAGATTTTTCCGTAGATGAAAGACTCATTTCTCCGATGTTTCTCCAACGAAAATGTAATTAAAACCAGCATCAATATTTCAAGGGAAATAATGAATCTCTCCTTCATACTTCTTCATCACAGGTTGAGATTGTATGATACGATAGTAGAAACCTGGCGATACCGATCCCCTCGACCACAGGAATGTGCACGATCACAGATGTGAGTGTAAATGCGATATGGAAAAAGGGTTAGCTTGAAAAATCGGTGGATTGGAATCGAGGTGATTTTAGGCTCTAGCCGTAGTCCATTGGTTCGTGCATGAGGAAATCACGGAACATTCTTGACCCCATTACTCAGTGACATGCTATTTTATTTGTTACTCTTGGAAGCTGTACAGGAAGTTTATTTTTGATGAGTGTTGACCATGTTGACGCGTCTCGAGCCACCATTTGTGCTTCTGAACCTCATCTCCCCCATTAATCACTCCAATTAATTAATTATCAATTAATTATTAATTACTTATTAATTAATAAACAGTTCTTCAATAAAAATAATTAATCATTAATTGATTTTCCGAATTAAATCTTCCCGCATCATGACTAAAATTCTTTAGTTGACAAAAATCATTATTCCGCCTATTCTACGCCTTGATATTATATTTATTATTAATATAAATATAACACAAACAAATTATATATCGCCATAAATATATTTTCATAGGTCCATGCGGTTTTTACCTATTACATGAGGAAATACAGACATTGAACAAAATTCGTTCGTTGATAAATTCTATTGAATTTTTGAGAGATAATTTTGTTTATTGATGTTTTTATTTATACGATTAATTATGTCGACGGGTTTTTAACTGGAAGAGTCCAGTAGAATGCGTAGAGAATTCGGGGTGAAGAATTTCTGTAGTGTATCAATAGAATTAATTGTAGTGAAGAGCAATCATTTTTTTATGCGGCATTTTCTCGTGGGGATTTGTGTAAATAAATGATCAGGAAAGATCCCAGATTAATCAATAGAATTCTTAGGGAGCTCTATTTCATTGAACACTTGAGGTTTCTATTTTGCGTCTTTTGAGAAAAGATGAATGAATTAGATCCATAGAAATAATGAATCATTCTTTTCATTCTCAATTCCTTTGGAAAAAACTCGTCACCTCTCACGAACAACTCCATTCATTCGATTAAAATAAATGATTCATTGCTCCAAACCTCCACTCAGTCCAATGGGCTGTAGAATATTTTTCTCGTCCCCAAATCCTCTCATTCATTGGACAAACCAAAAGACATAAATCTACGGTAATCATAAAATTTATATTTCAACGTTGAAAAATATATTTAATAATTCATTAAAAATAGAAAACCGAGGTAAGCAAGGAATTTCACTTCGAGTATCTCCTCTGCAGCTGGAAAATTCCACGCAAAAGCATTTCATTCTAATTCCATTTTCGCTGAGATCTGCATTTTTTTGTTAATTCTATCCGCGTAATAATGAATAGAAAAATATTTAATACTAATTATTCTGGTTATGTTCCTCACGAAATCGAAATTTGCCAAATAATTAATTCCGATTTATCGATCTTTCATAATCAGTTGAAAATAATTGAATACAAATTATTCTGATAATATTTTTTGCTAATCTAGTTATCCCCAAGTATTTTACTCCAGAGTTTTTTCCGATGGAATTTATAAAAAAATTGAGAATGCAAAATTCAAGAACATTTGGAATTTATTTAAAAGAAAGTCCCAGAGTAATTATTTTATTCAGAAAATATTCACAGAGGAAGTTCTCCCCTTGCAAAGGAAGATCTTTCAGTATTTCATTTCATAGTCATTTGCGATCATCTTGCAAATTTCCTCGTAAAATGATAACAAAAGATTATCACCGTTAGAAAATTTCTATTAAATTTGTATTAACCATATATTATTATTATTATTATTATTATTATATTATTATTATTATTATTATTATATTCTGCTGCAGTTTTCAATTGAAAATTTTAAATAGAAAAAATCTATAGAATTCGGTTTTGCGGTATAATTAATCATATTTTTCCTTTTCTCACCAAAATATCAACCAAAAATATTTGGAAATATGTTCTAAAAATATTTTTCGGGACTACAATTCGACCAATCGCGATGCAATAATAGAGGGGTGGGGTGAGGTGCTCATTTATTTAAAATTATTATTCATAACCAATCAAAAATCGTCAATTCAAATACTAAATATAAAATTGAGCAAAAATTAAGTTCCGATCTAAAAATATTTCAATCAAATCAATTAATATACTCGAATTCCATTGATTTTTTTTTCGCTAAAAATCGCAATAAAATGAACGAAAAATTGATAGAAGATGCAATAAAAGAAAATGGATTTTCAGATTTCCTTAATGTCAATTTATAATTTAATCTTGAAATAATTTTTTCCCACGTGTTTCGAATCCGGAATTTTCCCCATTAACACTCCCAGCCCCTAAATACCGGAAAGTTCCATGAAATCTCTAGTCCGAAATTTCCTAAGCTAGGAAATAACAGGGAAAATTCGAAAAATGTTCCCTGACTGTTCCCCAGCAATTAAAAAAAAAAAGATGGAAAGGGAGAGCGCTGGACCAAAGTGGGGGGTTCCCAACGTATTTATCGATTGATGTCCCTAAAAAGTGCCCTTCCGGCCCTGGATAACCAGAGAGAGAGAGAGCAAAACCCGAATAACTTCAAAAGCAAGTGGGAAGGAGGTGAAAAATAAAATAAAACACGAGGAAGAGGGGAGTGTGCGCTAACTCACCTCGTGCCACATTCCGCTGGTTTCCAACGTATGCAGAGATGAGAAACAGAAAACCGTAGGAGGCGACGCCTCAATATCAAAATACTTCCGCACCTCAGAAAAAAAATAATTAAACAAAATAAAAAGTCACATACACCATCAAAAATTTTCACAACTCGAGAATCACTGGAGCTCACAATTCCCGCCGATCTCCACAATCACTCTCACAATTTTCAAATTGAAAATCCGCAAAAAATCACTTGATCCCTCCAAAAGGGGGCGATTAATTTTACCGCTCAAGTTTAATTCTCAGTCGATAACTCAAACTCACAAAACTCACAAAACTCACACACCTCAAATTCCTGATATAATCCGTTGCACAACGAGGTCTGGAGTCTGGTATGTAAGTAATTGCATAATTATAGGATTATTCTGCGTTTCAGAATCAATTACGCAGATTAAATCACTCGATAACTCGAGGGAAATTGAGGAAATTGGGGAAATCTCAAGCAGCTCACAAAACTCACAACTGCTCAAGGCAAAAAAAATTGCACTCTACTATTAAAAAATCACTTTAAATTAATAAATTTGTTGCAGTATTGATGAGAATATTGATCTGCAGATCATGGAATGATCGATAAACATCTGGAGGAGGTAATGCGCGCGTTGCAACGGTACGTGAGGGAAATGATAAACACATTAGATGAATTTAAAATAGTTTGGAATCGCCAATAAAAGGAGGAACGACAGCCGCTGAAGATCTTGCAACGGTCACGGGACGTGTGCGATCACCAGGCAATCCCCTACCCTCGGTGCGACTGGTTTGGTTTCGTCTTGTGGTGGGATAAAAGTGTTTTATCCCCACCTTTTCGAGCAGCTCGGCCCACGTTTATGTACCTATTTTACCTTCTTCGTTGTACCCTCTTACAACCGGCGAGTACTGTATCAAACGGTATTTCCCTCGAATAACTCCGTCCACCGGAGTTTTCATCCTCATCACAGAAATTCAATCATTCCACTCTTTTTCAGGAAGGGCCAAGTATTTTCTAGGATTGGTCATAAGCAGTTCAGCGATCATCACTGCAACATTTTTTTTTTAATATCCGAGGAATTCGTTGATAATATTAAACTAGACGCAAAAATCGCGGAATAATATATCTTCAGTGGATAAATACTTCCTGAATGTTTTATTCTTCCTGTCATCATTAGCATTGAATAATCGAGTTGTAAAACCAAGGAAATATTTATAACAACAACGAAGAAAATTCCATTCTAAATTACTTTTTTACTTTTGAATAAAAATCGAATGTGATATTTTTCGGTGATCAGCGGTGAAAATTGATTACAAGTTTTTCTAGAAATCGTGCTTTCTCTTGAAGAGGTCAATTATTTACCGAATTCAGTCTGATTAATTTAAGAAATATAACAAGTCGCGCACTAATAATTTGATGGATTCTGAGGGGATCAATTAATTTCTTATCGAGAATGAAATCAAATGGATTTCTTTGCCTTGGAGATATTTGCAATGTAAAATATACATGCATTTTAGAGACTCATTGAGTTTTAGTACATTGTTAATGCAGCAATGAAAGGGTTTTTTCTGATTGTTGGACGTGTGTGTTCAGGCGAATGGTCTGGAGACTCTGTTTGCTCAGCAAATGGCCAGGCAATGTTGAACTGGTCCTCGAATTGCTGACAAAAATAGATGTGAGAGGTTCTTGTGATGCGACGAATTGTCCAAGAGGACAATATCTACAACATGAGATTCCGGTCAATTAAAGTGATCAATTTACCCATCATATCACATGTACAGATAAATTTATCAAATATAAATATTTGATAAAGAAAAAAAAAAGCACATACCAATCCTCGACTCTGCACAATTTACTACACTAATTTTTTTCTTTAAAAAAACTCAGCAAATGTTTGTATGCAATATTTTTATCATATCTGAAATGTTAAAGACGTGTAGTTTTATTCAAAGCTGAGTAATCCTCGACTATCGGAATTATGTACCAAACAAATTGAAGCACTTATTCTTATCTCGAATGCATGACAATTCTCTTTGTATGAGAACGGATAAAGAGTTATATTTTGGGTCGAGGTGACGGGAACGACGATAACTGGTGGAGAAGATCTGGAGCGTGAAGCGATTGTTATCTGTGAATACCTAAAGATGCACAATATTCCATGGGGCTTTTTCGTTTTTTATGAAGAGTTGTGACAATTCGTTTAGTGGTCAACGACTTGGCCGCATTTTCAGGGGCTTCTATCGATTTTTATTGTGAAAGGCATCGAATGGGATTCCCTCCATCCTCTTCTTCTATTTCCATTTGTCACTCTGATTTTCACAAGAATTTAAAAGCTTCCGGTGACTGGTGTCGAAGAAATATTCTTTCATCTTGAAAATTCACGGAATGTCTTATTTACTATTTTTACAAATTTTTGTTTTTATCGTAATATTTTTTTACGACTGAAAAAAGGGGAAATGTGTCATCAGGTCAATCTACTAAATACTTCTAATCCTCCAGAGATGAGAAAACAGCTGCACGTGTTAATGTTTGGTACTCAGTGTCATAGTGATCTAGACCCCATAAATTTAATTCCCCTCTTTACCCAAAATTTCAAATGACGCAATATTCTATTTTAAAATCGGGGATCAACAACTTTCTAGTACGGAAATATTTATTACATAAATTCAAACCCACTTTTATCATATTTTTCTATAATGTAAGGTTTATTTACACATAGTATTTGGCTATAAAAATTCAAGTGACTGAATTTTGCCAGCGGAATTTCAAAATGTTGATTTTTTTTTTCTTTCAACATGAGTTAATGCAGTGGAAAAAATTGAATTCGGCGTGACGAGTAAACTTGGGAAAACATGAAATTATTTCAGTTATGAGTGATCTTTCAAGAAAATATTTTTCCATTTTCCCTTGGAACTACTCGTTGAGATAAATCTGCAATTCCCAATAATAATAAATTTCACTTGTTACATACGCCGCAATCAATGAATTTTCATGCATTTCCATTTCCGTTATTTGTTGTCATGTTCCACATATAGATATCTATTAATATACTTCAAGGAATATAAACCAACAGTTTCGCCGAAAAATGTCAATCAATTATTCTCTGCAAAATAAATCTTCTATATATTTTTTATCGTCTCGAAAATAATAATTCAATTGTTAATCAAGCAACACTCAATCCATCACTTGAAACGGAAACAAACTATGGAATTTTATCAAACGGAATGGATTTAAGTATTTCTATAAATTTTTATTCTTGTGATATATTGTTTTTCATCATCATTTTTATTCACTTTTTATCGTGTATATAAACAGTTATATACACACACCCAACACATACATACTGGTATATATGTGCATTATGAATCGTTCACTCTCAATCTGTTTTTGATCTGACAATGCTTACCACAAACTATCGAAAATGGGCGCATAAATACAATTCGAATATTATTTTTATTTTTTTTATTTTCGTTTAATTTTTTTCTAAATTACGTCCACCAAAAATATTAAAAATCAAAATCCTTTAGCCGAAGATATTTTACAGTTCTCATTATTACCGGATTTTATTACTAGTCTTTCTTTTCGTTCCAATTTATTGTTTAGTAAACAATGATTTCATATGATTCCGAGCAATCTCTGCTACTTTTCCCTCGTCTTTGTAATTAATCTTCATCATTAATCAATTCACTTCTACAGACGCTCAATGAATATTCACTTCGATTTCCCTACGCATTTTTCTTCAAATAACGGGATACGAGAACATAATATTTTGACATGAAAAATTCCAGAAAGAAAATGAAAACACACGCGAAATTGTTTATGAATTTTTGTGACCACTTTTGCAATAACCTGTGAAGGGAAAAACTAAAATGGGGTAAATTTATAGTTTCAAATGCTGTGAGACGGCAATTATACTACGAGTGCGGCAGGTCGAACAAAAATGGGAGAAAACTTGAAAAAAAATCAGTGTATCTAGAATTCACATGTAAAGTGGTGAATTTCGACAAGTCGAAAATTAAATCGTTGAATAATTCAAAAACAATTGGATCAATCGAAAAACCCCAGAGGAATCGTCCATTAAAAAATTCAGGCCCTAATGGAAAGATTTTACATTTTTCTCTAAACCCAATACTAGATGTTCGTGAAATAATATCGCGGGTTTAACAGAAAAAGTCAGCCTTTTACAGAATTTTTTAAAAAACTCCTTCACCATTCTCTCCACCTCTTTGAATTAATCCCCAGATAATTCATGAAAACAAAACCGTCAATTTTTCATCTCCGTTCACCACTTCCGTCTTTCCTTGAATTTAGCACATGCCCAATCAATCCAGATCATTTCCCCTCTTCTCCGCCCTCACGATTGTCTCACATTCTCAGTCACTCCACCAAACCCAATAGACCTCAATCGAAAGAAAAAAAAATAATAAAAAAAAATTGAATCAACGAGAGCCATTCAACGAGAAAAAACTTCACCGAAATAAGGAAATCCTGTCCCAACAATACGCTTATCATGAGATCTCTCCCACTCAGGGGAATTAAAAAAAAAACTTATCGAAAATCACCACACCCCCCTGCCCCTCTCTCAACCATTAAATCTTCGATAAATAATTTATTTCCCTCAAGTTTTCATCGACAAAAAAATCTCATGCCAATCACTCCGGAATTCACGTACGACAAAATTCAATGGAGATAACGAAATTTGTTTCAACGCCGTTTTATTTTTTGTAGCTCTCAGTTCTAGCTATAAAATAGGAATAGCCTTGATAAAAATTTCGTATCACCCTCAATTTAAGAGATATTCCGAAAAAACCAATGAAATTACCTCCCTTTGCTATTTCACTCTAGATTTCCTCCGAGGTTTCTCATACGAATTATTTGTTATTGCTCAAATTTCCGTGACTCTTCAGCTGATCCTGATTGAATTAATCCAGAAAACAATAATCATCAACGGTCTCAGCCCTCACCAATAAATCACCTCCATCGACCAATAGACGCCCCTTACAGTATGAAATAAACACGGTTAGCTCATAGAAACTTGTCCATTAGCGAGTAGTCTCTCAACCGCAGCATTAATATCCCCAAATGTAGCAATGAGCGCTTGTAGATTAGCATCACGATTGAGAAAACCCATGGCAGTCAGCTGCTCTAGCTGTGCCCTGTAACGTTCCTCAGGTGGAGGGACAGCACCATCACCCTCACCACCCTGATTCAGAGCCATTGACGACACCATTCTAGCCATAAATTGAGAGAAGAGATCATTTGAATCTCTAGCTGGCTCTGCTGTGTCTAATGCATTTGTAGTTCCTGTGGCACTGCTATCAGTTCCCGTTGATGGGGATGTTGGTGAAGCTGTTGCACCAGATGTGGGTATTGTGGGGACTGATTGGAGGCCCATAGTGTCAACGAATTCAGGAGCTACTGTGCGAAGCTGCTCCATTCCCTGTTGTATCTGCATTATCGCTGCTAAAGCGTTTGGATTTGTCACAACACTTTGGATTTGAGGATTCTGCATCTGTTGGATGAAAGCCGGTAGCATTGACCTCATTTGCTCTTGCATCTGGGGATTGGATCTGAAGAATGGATTAGAAGCTAAGACTCCTTCGGCTATTGCTGGATCATCGGCCATTGCCTCTAAGATTGATCTCGTGTAGGGGGCCACCAGCATATTTCGCATCAGCTGGGGATTTTCCATCATCTGAGCAGCGAGACTCTGCATCCCTGGAGAGTCGAGGAGACCTCGACCGGGCCCCCCAAGGCCTCCAAGACCACCTAGGCCTCCCAGTCCCCCCAGACCTCCAGGAGCAGCTCTTGGGGCACCGCCTGGTGATGGCGAGTCTGTGTTGGGATTCCAAGGATTGGGCAAGGGATCACGATTCTCCTGGCCTTGCTGAGGATTTGTGGCAGCTTCTGAGGTGTTCTCGATTAATGCTGCGAAGGGATTGCGCTCGCTGTTGACTGCTGCCAACATTGGCTCCTGAATGTCCCGATACATCCGGCGAAGGGCACTGTGTCCTCCAGGAATCGATTCTAAATTGGAGAGTGCTCGATCGTGGGAGCGCATCAGTTCTTGAAGCATTGACGGATTTCGTGCCAGTTCCATCGTTTGTCTGAAAGAGACACAGATAATTTATCTAAGGATGATAAGATTTGAGAAATCTTTTTTTTCAGTCTCGAGAAAAATTCCATATTTTGTTAAATTAAATATTACATTTTATTTGTTTAGGAGGACGATTCAACTGTTGGATAATTGAATAATTGATTACCTCAGTAATTCTGGATTATTTAACATGTGACTGATTTCCGGATTACGTTGCATGAGCTCCTGCATTTGTGGATTTGCCGAGACGAGCATGCGAACATTTTCTGGATTATTCATGAGGCTTTGTACCAGTGGATTATCGAAAACTTGACGCATTGTTTCGGGATTTGAGAGTAATTCTCGTTGCATGCGCTGCTGGAGATCAACGAAATTGGCTGAACCCAGACCAAGATTTTCTAAGCCAGCTAGGCCCCCTAAATTCCCTAGACCAAATGGACTAGCACCTACATCAGCTGTCAACAGAAAAAATATCGATTTATTCATATTGGAAGACGAAAAAATTCACGAATAAATTAGTGAAGTGCAAAGAATATTCCAATTCATGTACGTCATTGAAGAACCACAAAAACTTCTCTTTTTTTATGCAAATGAAGTTTTCATAGAAGTTTTGATTATTCAAGACTTGTAATATCATTGAATTCGAATTAATAAATAAAAACTAATTGATAAGACTAACGAGCAATAGATCAATTTTCGATGGTGAAAAATCATTCAATTTCCGATCAAGTAGAATCTTTTTTTTGTTTTTTTTTTGTTTTTTTCAAATTCAAGTGATTAATTTATCCCTGAATCATAACTACGCCCTCTCCTCTGAAAATATTTATTTCGATTTCTAGAATCGCCAAGAGTTATTCAACGGATATCTCTAAAGCTCGTGGATTTTTTTAAATTGATCATAAAATTGCTCATAAAAGAGACTTGAACATTGGTCCCTTTCCAAAGACAGCAATCTTCCACCCGTGTCTCTCTCAATCCCCCAATTTCCCAATTTCTACTGACCTGCAGGCCTCGGAGGCGGTTGCTGGGATGCCCCCTGGTTATTCGGCTGCTGTGATCTCAATGCTTTAATAACCAAATGAACTGTTAATCCATCCTTAACATTGTGTGTCCCCAGGGTTTCATGGTCCTTCATAATTTTCCCCGCGAAAATGAGGCACAACTGTTCCGGCTGAGCATTGAACTTCTTCGACACCTCCTCCTTGAACTGTTTTCCGGGACAAAATAAAAAATTAAATGATTCAATTACCAAACAATTGCATGAAATGACGAAATTGATTTCAATGTTGTTCCAGTGCTTAACCAACGTGACAGCACCCCAACCCGAAATCCATCGTCGACCTCCATTTTATCGTCAACATTTGATAACAAATATTCTGGATACTTACGTCCTTGATGGAGGCATTTTCCTCGATCTCGATTGTCTGTTTCTCCCTCGGTGTTTTGATAAAAATCGTTATTTTCTGCGGACTGTCCTGTCCCTCTGCCATCTTGTACCGCCTGATGACTCGTTACTTTCGACTCCCCCTGCACTTCACTTCTCTGATTTCCTTTTTTCAATCTTTTTATTGGTCGTATGTATTACATACACCAAACGGCGCCTCGGCGGCGAGCTTCAAAAACCTATGTAAATGGATTTTATTCTACGTTTTATTATTTGGTTGATGGCTATCCCCGGATTGGGGTGGACCGAGGCTCTCAGGAGGCACGAAGATTTCTGAATTGTTTGTCACTTATTCTGTCACCTCGGTTTTTTTTTTTAATTGTTGTTTTGTTTTTCTTTGTTTTTTTTTTCTCCGTAGAGAATTGGGGACCATCTACGTTTTAGTTCAGTGGAACTTTACGTGGGGACCGTGTGTTCGGCCACGGCAGGGCCATAAATTGTACAATTCGGAGTCACACGCGTGTTTGAAGGATCGCCGCCATTTCACATGGGCATCACAAGATGGCGGCAGGTGGTACTGACAAAATGGTGAGGACTTGAGGAGCACGGAGACTTTTTGAATTGTTGAAATAGTTTTGAGATGAGAAATGGGACCCTTAAAAATTGATTGATCAAATAAATATGGTAAAATCAATTGAAATCAATTGAAATCAATTCATATAACTCATAATAAATTTATATAAATAAATATATCTCGATTTCCGCACCCCGCCCACAACCGATAATCCGTGAAACAATCGATTTAACAACAATTTCAAAATTCCCGCGAATCTGCAATTTTTTTAAGCTCGCCACAAGTGGCGGTAGCCGACACTGATAAAAAATGGCGCCATCTGTGAATCCAATTCCCTAGTCTCCACGCCATTGAGTCACAAAATTAATTGAAAGGTCCCAACTCCAGTAATTCCACCTTTTTAAATCCCAAAATATCTGCGAAATTCCTCAGTTCTTAAAAGATTGAAAAACTCTTTTTTTTACCTTTCAAAATTTCACGCCGAAAATGTCCCCAAAGTTTTTCCCCCAACCCAACGGTTTCAAAAATATTCTCGAAACAAGGGCTCCAGAATATTTGGAGTTACGACCATCTGGTAATGAGTTAATGAGTGGCATCCCCCACCAGCCCCCACTCTGTTTTGTACAATTCCTCCTCCACAATAATAAAATATCTGACAACAGAATGTAACATGTCCGCCATATACGGCAACCGTCGGTCATCCAGTCTAGTCCAGCTCCGGTCCTTGGACTGTCGAGTAGGATGGAAACGTTAATAAAAATCCAGGAAGAAATATCCTCAACCCAATCAATGAATAAATAAATAAAAAAGTGGTTCAATCAATAAATCATTTATAACAATGGTGACCCCGCCGGGGGGAAAATAAACAAACGTCTTTCCGTCATCGGACATTCGGCATTTCGGAAATTTGTGAGGTAATCATCAGTCTTTCGGAAATAGTAAATCCTGTCAGGAGTTTTGGTTCTCGAGGATAATTAAGGAGACAAGGGATATGGATGACTCGAGTGTTCGAGTCGCCGTTCGGTAAGTATTTTTCCATTATTTATCATTTTTTTTTAAGTTCTGTATTTTTTGGAGTTATTTTGATAAGTCGAGACCTAGACTGAATTATTTTCAAAGGGTTATCGTTTTTTGTCAGTTTATGGGATTTATTTTGAATGACTCAGAAGTTTTTAGGATTATTGATAATTCTAGGGAGATATTGATATTCAAAAAATATGGTTTTCATGATTTTTAAAATTTATTGGCAGTTTCACTTCGATAAATTTCGAATTAGGGTAGATAATCAATGAAAATTTGTTTTCCCTGTAATGAGGGAGGTGAAGGGGTGGTATTAAAATTATTTCCTGTGGTGTTTGACAATAACAAAGAGATGTTGAATAAAATTTCAATTGATAATTCCTTTCCTAATTTGATAAACTACGGTGACTGCCTCTCATCCACAGGCATTTATCGTTGAATATCTCGTGAATGAAGATAAATAGCGAAATTTTCATGAATACCTTTTTTGCGAGGCGATACATGGGCTAAAAAAACGATTTCTATAAAAATTTTGCTATCTCTCCTCCTTCGGGAGTTATTCATCGATTATTACAGCCCAATGCACTCGTCCTCCATTACAATTTGATTAAAGACTTGAGATTACTCATCACCTAGTTATTTTACACCTCCCAATAATGATCAATGTTTTCCCAAAGATTGTCCAATATTTATTCACAGAGATAATAGAAAAGAATATAGTAGGCAATCCGGGATATTGAGAATGATAAAATATTTTTCTTTGACTCCATTATTTGTTTTGGGTACTTATTTAGTGTTTATGTTGCTTCTGAGATGAAAAATCTTGTGCTAAGGCCACAATTCTTTAACGGGAACGTGGGTGGTTAGGACTAGCCTTGTAGGCGAAGTTACAAGGCCAATGTACAGATTTTTTACACCTCGGTTTCCACAATTGATTGACCGTTTGCTTCTCTATTAACTCCACGATATCCACTGGCATCTTATTTGCCTCTTATATATGTATACATAAGATATACATTCGGCATTGGAACCTTCACATAATTACTTCAAATAATCAGAAAAAAAGAAACAAAAAACTCAACATGATTTTCTTAAAAGGTATTCGCACCTCAGTTTTAATTTTTTTTTTTCCACAATTGAATCACCATTTGCTTCTCCATTTAGTTCCATAATCTTCACTGATTTGTTGTTATGCTTCCAATAATTTCAATAATTTGGATAATAATTCATTAGTACTCCAATATTTAATTTAATCAATTGGTAATTGTTGAAGGGGATACCGGAATTTTATTTAATGGCATTCAGCGATTATTTTTTCTTCTTTTCGAATGTTCAATAATGTTTTCGTTTTAAGAATGGGAACTTTCATGCGGGGGAAAATGCAGTGTCACCTCATAGAGGATCGTAAATGGTATATAAACTACAAATCTGTGACTTTCACCGAACACGATATCGTGGGTAGACCAGTAAATGCGACTGATGCGTGACGAAAATTCCTCGGTTTGCATAAAAATAATGAATTGAGAGATTCGTATGATAGTAATTGGGTTTCATTATTCATGAGGATTATTATTTTATGAATTATTTATGCCGGAAGATTCTTTGCATCCCACTGAACATCCTTGTTATGAAAATCATTTCGTATTTTCATTTGATTTCATCTACGAGAAGTAGAAAAATTCATTTCTTCATTTCGGAACGGGACTTTTTTTTTCACTGATCATTCGATGAAGTTTCAGATTTTTGGGACCAGCAAGAATAAAATTTTTCCCTTGATTGCAATTCCTGTGGATACATCAGTATTCCATCCCAAATTTTGGATTTTTTCCAGTGAATTTTGGATTAATCCTAATAAATTTCATAATTTCTATAATAATTTCAAAATAATTACAGGAAATCTGAAATTTTTATTTATCTCTCATAATCATTCCGTCTTATTATAAAATCCCAAAGTTTTGCCCACGAAATTTTCAATTAGCGAATAAAAATTCAGATAAACCCGCCCATAGAATTTTCGTAAAATTAATTCTGTTGGAGGTACGATAACATAACTCGGGTCATCAGCTGATTATGATAATCTCCAGGCGTATTGGAAGATTTTGTAATTTTCAGCAAGTGTTTTATGCAGTTGAATTGCACCCGCGACGTACATTAAGACTATCCAACATCATGATCGTTATACCTGTTTCATGATGAATGAAGTACCACCCACTTCTCCCTCATTCATTTTCAGTCTTTTGTGCTTTCATCTGGAGAGAGATGACTCTTCTCCACGTCGAGGCACTCGGAAGACACTTGTCCCTATTCTTCTTTTTTTCCCTTATGCTGCTGCACACAAGAAGCTCCCAAAATTCCTAGAATTATTGATTTAAAACTCTGATATTGAATTTATTTTCCAAACAACCCCCTCCTCCCCTCCTCCCCCCCTCCTTAAATCCTGCCATTTTCCATACTACACGTCAATGTTTACCTCGGTTTTTTAAATATTTAGCATTCCAGTGACGGATTCTCTTTTATTTTGTCGTGGAGTCCTTCGACTTTCTTTGTTACCGCTGCAAACGTTCCTCTGATTGTCTATCTGAACTTGGTGATAACAGCTAGATAATGGAGAGTTGGATTATAGATATCTTTTTATCTTCTCGGAACCCAGCGGGAACAGGTTGACGATTAAATAAATTAATTAGCCTCTGCAGTAAAAACAGACAAATGTTCTTTAATTTCTATTCAGAATGCATTAAGAACTTGACTATGGACCTTCAATAATATTGTTCGAACGATTTTTTATTTATAATAATGAAGGACTATTCAATATTGATAGAAATTGAGACTCTCCCTGTCCCCACTAATTAATCCAGTGTTCATAAATCGCTAAAAGTCTGTGCAACCATGAATAAACCATTCGTTGGTATTTCCAAGAACTCCTTGACGTCATGATGGATTTAATTACAGGATACGGCCTCAAGTGGCTCGAGAGGTGATCGACATGTGTCGAATTTGTACCCAAGTGCCTCCAGGCGAGCCGCAGGTGTTCCTGGGACCTGATAAAGCCTTCACCTATGATTACGTCTTCGATACGAGCACAGGACAGAGTCCAATCTATGATGCATGTGTTGCAAGATTGGTTGATGGGGCTTTGGATGGGTACAATGCAACAGTCTTGGCATATGGACAAACTGGCTCGGGAAAGACGTACACTATGGGCACGGGTTTTGATGTTGAAGTCGATGAGATGATTGTTGGCATTATTCCAAGGGCTATCAGACACTTGTTCGATGGTATCGCTGAAAAACAGGCCAGTGCCCGGGAACGAGCTCTTATGCCACCTGAATTCAAGGTCAGTATCAAGTCGATGGTAACGTCTGGAATTGACTGGAAACATTTAATCATTCATCATTCATCGAATTCTCTTTTTTAATGTTTTATTTTATTAATGTTTTTCCATCAGAAATCCTAGGTGTTCCACTTTATTTATTTATTTTTTTTTGGCACTGAGAGATGAAACTCTTACAATAACGAAATTTAAATTCAAATTTGAAATAAATTTGGATTTGTTAACAATCTCGCGCTCGCCGGTGGCTGTTGAAAAATTCGATTCAACGGAGAATCGAAGTTAATTAATTATATACACTCATTACCAATAAAAGATCCGGAGTGCATTTCTTTTTTAATAACTATTAAATTTAGTTCAACGATTAATTAAAAGCCCGGAATTAATCAGGTGACGGCCCAATTCTTGGAGCTCTACAACGAGGACTTAAAGGACCTCCTGGAACCAGGGGGTCCCCGAGGTGGGGCCCGAATTCATGAAGATCCCTCTGGAAATATCCACCTCGCTGGTGTGGAACCCCGGGTGGTCACAAGCCCCGAACAAGCCCTCGAGTACCTCCGTCTAGGGGCTCTTTCGCGTACGACAGGTTCCACCCAAATGAACACTCAATCCTCCCGATCCCACGCGATTTTTACCCTCTACATAAAACAACAGCGCTGCATAAAAATAGAAGATCCCGACGCCGACGTCGACACGACCTCTTCCGATTCGGCTAACGAATTCGAAACTCTAACTGCCAAATTTCACTTTGTCGATCTGGCCGGGTCTGAGAGATTAAAACGAACGGGCGCAACTGGAGATCGCGCCAAGGAAGGCATCTCCATAAACTGCGGACTCCTGGCACTGGGCAACGTCATCTCCGCTCTCGGAGATAAAACGAAAAAAGCTCTGCACGTGCCTTACAGAGACTCCAAACTGACGCGCCTTCTCCAGGATTCTCTGGGTGGTAACAGTCAAACAGTCATGATTGCCTGCGTCTCACCCAGTGATCGGGACTTCATGGAGACCCTGAGCACCTTAAAATACGCCAATCGAGCTCGAAATATCAAGAACAAAGTGATGATCAATCAAGATAAATCCTCCAGGACGATTACTTCCTTGCGACGAGAAATTCAACAGCTTCAGCTGGAGCTTCTGGAGTACCGACAGGGGAAGAGAGTTGTCGGAGAGGATGGGGTGAATGACGCCTGGCACGAGAATCAGATGCTCAATAGTGAGCTGCAAAGTCTTCGGACAAGAGTGAAAGCTTTATCAGAAACAGTAGAAGGACTCACAGCGAAGAATTCTTTGTTGATCGCGGAGAAAGCTGGTGGTCAGTGGGTCAACAATGCCTCTGGGGAACCCGTGACAGAATTGATTCTGGGTTATGTTGAGGAGATTGAGGAGCTTCGGGCGAAACTCATGGAGGCTGAAGCCATGTACCAACAGCTGAAGAAACGACAGATGCAGATGCAGGCTGCTAATCCTTTCTCAGAACCATCATATACCTTTGGAGATTCATCGTCAGTCCTTGCAGATGCCAAACGAGAACTCCAGAAGGAAATGGATACCCTTGCGGCCTTGAAGGGACAGCAGGACAATGATGAGGAGAATGAGGGGGATGGGGCTGAGAATGGACAGGAATCGATGAGTGACGATGAATCTGATGATGATTCTGATCGGAAGGAGGAGGATGAGGAAGAAGCGGCTATGGGCAGAGAATTGGAGGCTTTGACATCTGATATTGATGTGAAACAGCGGTTGATTCAAGAATTGGAGTTGTCTCAAAGGCGGCTGCAGACTATGAAGCAGCATTATGAGGACAAGCTGGTGCAATTGCAAGCGAGGATTAAGGACACCCAGGAGGAGAGGGACAAGGTGCTGTCCTCACTCCAGCAGCAGGCGTCACCACCCACCGAGAAGGTGAAGAAGTTAAAGGACGAGTACGAGAAGAAGTTGACTGCTATGCAGAAGGAAGTTCGTCTTTTGCAGTCCGCAAAGAAGGAGCATGCGAGGCTTTTGAAGAGTCAGTCACAGAATGAGAACAGGTTGAGGGGCCTCAGGAATGAGCTCGCCGAGATGAAGAGGGCGAAGGTCAAGCTGTTGAATAAAATGAGAGAGGAAGCGCAGAGGCATAAAGAGAATGAGTTGAGGAGGAATCGGGAAATCGCGCAGTTGAGGAAGGAGAGCAGGAAGAATGCGAATATGATTCGGACTCTTGAGGCTGATAAGAGGATGAAAGAGGTGGTGCTCAGGAGGAAGCAGGAGGAGGTGACGGCGTTGAGGAAGAGGGACAGAGGACTCAGTCAGAAGGTCGCTGGCAGGACGGTCGTTAAGAAGGTCAATCCAAAAACACTTAAGCAGATGTGGCAGACTTTTGAGAGGACTATTACTAAGCAAGCGTTGGCCAAACAGGCTGCTGCCGAGACTGAGAGAGAAATGGAGAGGTTTGTCCACTTTTATTTATTTTGTATTTCTATGCTTTTAGCTTTCGGCAGAGTGGGCTACAATGATTTTTAAATACTTGAATATTGAACGTAATATTTGGTTTGAATTAATTCAAATATCTCGTGTTAAAATATTTCAAAATTTGGATTTCATTTTTTCACATGATTTTGAAGAAAGGTAACTTGATGGTGACGTCGTATGTTGAAAATTAGGTTGCTGATGGAGAGGGAGGAATTGGGGAGGGACTTGGAGCGGCTCCAGAAGCATCGGGTGGCAGCGGCAGCCACTCGAGGAGACACTGCGGATGTTGACGAGGATATCGACAATGTCAAGAGCAAAATTAGCTATCTGCAAGACAGCATTGCGGAGTGTCAGAGGGATATGGTGGAGATGGGGGATGGGGAGACTGAGGCTGAGCCAGGGGTCGAGGCCCTCATTGCAGCTGTCAAGAGTGTTGACGAGGCGCAATATCTTCTCCAGCGAATGCTCAATTTTACGGTGGAGCAGAGCTGCAGTGCAGCACAGAAGCAGCTCGAGGTGAGGGACATGGAGAGTCGACTGAATCAAGTGGCGCAGGAGAGCGATGTTCAGCATCAACTTCTGGAGCATGTGCTCAGGGACAGGGATCTGCTCACTATGACCAGCAGTCATGATAATAGTTTAGCCTACAGCCCCCCGAGCTCCAGGAGTTCATCACCCGATAAGTAAGTCAGTTTCTATGATTTGAAAAATTATCCGGTTACAATATTTTCACTGGCACAATTCCAATTGCGTTTCCCAGAAATTTCAAAAAAACTTGAAAAATGAAAAGATAACGGCGATAACTCCTCAAGTCCGAGAATCTCCTAATTTCGTAGTCTTCTTCTGGCAATTTATAATTTAAATTCTGAGCGGGTAAATTTGTCCACAGTAGTGAAAGTTACAGTCAAATATCGATGACCGAGGTGAAACAGAAGAGCAATAAAGTCCGTCGTCGAACAACTCAACCCCAGGAGCTCCTGTATGGCGTAGGTCAAGGTGCTGATTCCCTGAAGGTCGACGATCACAATCAGAACCACAATCATCCTCTAACTCGAGTACCGAGTGCTCCGGGCAGTCTTAAGTATAAAAAATAATTAAATTCATTTATTTTCACCACAACGTGTGTTATTCATTGGCACGTTTTGTCCTGGGGTTATGACAGAGGTTTGGTATTGACCCGTGGCCAGCATGGGAGTGGCATGGCTGGTGGTGGATCACCAATACTCAGTAGACGTGACAGCACATCACCACGATCCCTCCGGAGGCCACTCCATCCTGGTGGGGGCTCTATGTGAGTGCCATTACTCCGGCTCGTTTTACTTCTCGTCATTTTCATTTATCTGTGCATTGATTCACTCCTTCACGCATTTTTTTAGTGGAGGGGAGGCGGTTTGCATGATTATCTCACGAAATTTGAGAATTGAGGGAGATTGCCAAGTTTTTGTAATTATCATTTCGTAGCTCGCGAAAAAAATTTTTATGGAGATTTCACTGTTTTCCTTAATTTCGGAGACATTTCGGATAAATCCACGAGTGCGGTAAATTACATCTTCATTGTAGTTTTGTTGGGATTTTTTCGATGGGTCATGAAGATAAAAATTCGAGAATTTTCTGAATCGTGATTTCAAAATTCCGCGGCTTTAACACACTTTTATTTCAAATAAAAAATTTAATTGGAAAATTAAACTCTGTTAAATTCTTGAATATTCAGTAAAATTGAAATATTCAAGCTGTTCCTAAAAGATGAATCATGAATGATTAACTTTCTTTAACTTGAAAGAATCCGATAAAATCCAAAATTAATAAAATTGAAGAGCTATTGTCAGTAGGTGGACATTAAATAAAAAAAAAAAGAACCACAAAACTCATGAACTTTAAAATTCCTCCTCTCCACTACAAGCATGATTGCAACAATTTCCGATATTTTTCGACAATGCACAAATCAATGGTTTTACGATTTCACACAAATCTGTCCAAAATCGATTTTTTTCAATTCGATTTGTTAATGAAATTTTCTCAATTTGGGATAGATGTTAATTGGGGCAATAGTACTGAGTACCATGTGACTCACCAGGAGGTGATTAATGATTACTCGTTAGATTAGAGGATTCACGAGAGAGGACTAGAAAATCAGAGGAGTCTCGTTAATGGCACTAAACATTTGTAATTGTACATACACTATTATTCCACCATTAATCAATGTCAATTATCGTCAGTGTAAAGAGAAGTGAGAGAATTATGTGAATTTCACAGCGAAATTATTAATCGATTGTACATTATTTTTTTTTTTGTATATTTATAAACAAAATAAGTAATAAACTGTATTTATGTACTTATTCAGTGGAGAATAATTGACAGATTTTTTCGAAGACGGTTGGATTCATGAGAACTTAACCAAAATTAATTGATTAATTAAGTAACAGACTAATTAATTGACTAGGTAGTTTACTTAAGTGGATTAATAAGTGATTTAGGCGAAAATTGCATGGTATTAACACAATTTTTAATGCACGATGTGATAACGAATAAATTGTTGGTATTTTTTCGTTTATTTTCATTCTCAATTTATAACTGACTGACTAACAATGTTAACATGAGAAAAATCGAATGAATAAACCAGGGAACACGTTGCACAAATGGACGTGTCATCGCCACCAGGATCGCCGACGATTTATCGTCGATTCAACAGTCGCGAGGAGAATGTTTTCTCCAGATTAACTGCTACTAGACAACCACTCACAACCGATCCACAACCGACAAAGGGAGTCATTTCACAATATCCAGGAAAGGTATGTCATTATTTGTGGTAATGCTCTTAAGGATTGTTCGATCATTTTAAATTACACCTAGATATTTTAATGCTTGATCTGACCTATTCATTTATTTTTATATTATTCAGTACAAAAGTAGATAAAAAACGTTGAGTTTGTTCAATTATATCTTATCTCCACTATTTAATCTTTGAATAAATTGATCGGAGAAAATAGCTGGGATAATTGGACAAATTATGGAAATGAGTATTGAATGGCGGTCGTAACATTGTGTCAGCTGTAAGTTTTATCTTTGGAAATGTGTTAGGTGCAGCCTAGAGCTCCTCTGCAATGCACTCACGTTGCCGAAGGCCACAGTAAGGCAGTGCTGGCCATCCATGCAACGGAAGACTTATTATTCAGCGGCTCCAAAGGTAAAAAATATATTTCCATTATCTAAACCTTCAATTTCTTACCTTATTATTAACTTTATCATAATTAATTTAACCTCTTCGATGATTAATTAATTTTTGAGAGTAATTTAAACTTGTTGTCAGATCGAACGGTGAAAATATGGGACTTGGGAACAGGCCTGGAAAATATGACACTCTCAGGTCATCCTAACAACGTGGTCGCAGTGAAATACTCCGAGTCCCATCGCCTACTCTTCAGCGTGTCATCGGCCTACGTAAAAGTCTGGGACCTTCGTACCAGCAACTCATGTGTTAAGACCCTTTTCTCATCGGGTCAGACTCAGAATGGTGCATTATGCCTGACAACTACCGCGAGAACACTGCAAGTGCCTCCTGGTGAAACGACAATAAATGATTTGGCACTAAGTTTGGATGATCAGGAATTGTACACTGCGACTAGTGATAAGGTGAGGGTCTGGGATCTCAGAAAATTGACGTACACTGGACGTCTCAGCACTCCACACACAGCAGCTGTCATGTGCCTTGCTGTCGCTGATGATGGAAGGGTCGTAACTGGTAGCAAGGATCATCTAATTTCTCTCGTTGATACCACCACCTCAGGGCAATCTGTCAGTCTTGCCCCACCTCATTACGATGGGGTCCAGTGTCTTGCCACCAGTGGCACTACTCTATTCTCAGGTAATGATTATTATACAAATGATTATTTCAAAATAAATAATAATATGATAATGTATAATATTATTGAATAATTTTTATTCAACAGGTTCTAGAGACATGTGCATAAAACGATGGGATCTCAGCAGGATGGAGCTCCTCCAGTCATTGAACAACGCCCACAAGGACTGGATTCAGGGTCTTTGCACAATAAACAATGGTGCAGTGATGGTTTCAGGATGTCGAGGTGGTTATCTTCGAGCCTGGGGAGTTCCCACAGACAGTGAGGGCGAATGCTCACCCCTGGGAGAAGTTCGAGCTCATGGATCAGCAATAAACGCTGTCGTCACCAATCAGCAGCACATTTTCACCGCCAGCAAGTGAGTTACCATTAAAATCAAATTATTTAGCCGTTTATTAGTTGATTATTTGTCGATTTTTTAGATGGATAATTGAATGAGTGCAAATCGCAATATATTAGATTTATTTTCAATTATTGATTTTTGGAGTAATTAATTCAGTGGTTGAATAAGGTTTTAGAATTTAGAAATAAAAATATTTCACTACTGATTTAATATATTGTGAGTTGTTAATTAACAAACAAATGACGACTGGGATGTTGATTATTACAGCTCGGGTGAAGTGAAGCTCTGGCGCATTCCCGATCCTTTCCTAGCAATGTCAATGTCAACAATGTCTATCTAACTCATTTTATTCATCTGCTTGTGCTATTATTTCTGCAACTCATCATTAATAATTAATTAAACGTGTTTCTTCAATTTCTAGAGTTCATCATTATTATTATTATTTTTTTCATTGAGGGAATCCAAGGATCTCGCAGTTTCGTTATAAAAAAAAAAAGTCAGTAGATTTTCATGGAAATAACTAATTGCAAAGTCTCTACTTTAAAACTAGTCTATTTTGCGCAAAAGTCTCATTAATTAGAGGGACTTGAGGCTTTTTTATTTGCATAATTGATAAAAACTAGAAGAATTTCAGGTGCTGAATCAATCGAATTATTAGTAATTAATCTATTATGTTAGTTATTTTAGGAGATAAAATTTTTAAGACAATCCTATAAAAGTTTCGCTTGGATTTTCTCGGGAATTTTGAGTTAATTATTTTGTTATGATTTTTGTGCTGTTTGTTCATGCATCACGTTTATCTTCCTTTGCATGGGATTAAAAACAGCGATGGAACGGTTAGGCTGTGGAGCTACTACAAGAGAGATCCCCGAGCATTTAATCGGAGCAACTCATTAAAGTGCTAACATTCGCAGCATTACGACGAGATGGAGGACCCAGAGTATTTAATTTAGAAAATTATTTTCCCCTCGTCGAATAAGAACATGAGATTATTTTTAATAGTGCTGAATTAATTAGTATTAAAAAGTAATTTTACTCGTGGCCAGTGAATGGAAGTTTCAAATCTGAAGGATATTTTACATTCCTTTGACACTCATTAATAGATTTTTATTCTTTGCTAATACATTTTCATTATTTGAGTGTCTAATAGATTAGAATTTTGTACTGTCTATTTATGTATTGAAGTATTTCTCGTTACACTGCTTTCAGTGTCTTTTATAGATTTTTTTTTATCTAGGAAAATATTTAATTGAAATGAATTTCGTTGTGTAAATTTAATTTGATAGCTGAGTGGTGGGGGAAGAATTTGAAAATATTTAAATCTGTCTGTTAAACAGAGTAGTTGTTAAAAAAATTACAGGATAAAGTTTAAACATATTTTTGAATAGTCTTCTCCTGTCATCCGACTACTCCGTTCATTGTATACGATCAAAAGAAAAGCAATTTTCAGGGTGTGAAAATGAATAAACCGTCGGTGCATTGTCGCAAGACGCCTAATTGTAGATTATAAGAATGAAAAATTAAAAAATATGTATATGATGCAAATAAAAGGCTGTTTGAATATTTGACAAAATTTGGCATTATCTAGCATTCATTTTATTACGAACAGGAAGATCATCGCAATTATAGTATTTATTACCAGTACAAACAATAATAATTCGTTAATACTGTACAGTCGTAGTTTACTGACGGCTTGGAGGAGGTAACACTGTCAGAGCTGGTTGTTCAGTTTTCTTCTGAGGGTGAGAGAAGCAAAAAACAAATTAATTGATGCCGGAAGTAAATGAAAAAGCCCGACTTAATAATTATGTAAAAAATTTCTGATATTCTCTCGTGGCACTTTTCTATTTATTTTCAATGTTAATGGTGGTGGCGTTTGTGCACTTGCCTCTTCTTTTTTTTGTGAGCAGAGAGGGACTCTTGCCCACTGTCATCCTCACTTTCCTCGGACTGTGAACTTGAGCTGCTGCTCGATGAACTACTGGATGAACCACTGGAAGAATCACTCGCCACTCCTGTCTCCTCTTTCACATCAATAGTCTCAGCCAGAGATGCCAATTCCGCCTCCTTCTCTCGTAATACTTTCAACCATTTTCGGGATAACTTTGGTCTTCCACGAACCTTAATAAATCATAAATTATTCAAATTGTTATACGAAATTCGTAAAATAGTAAACTTTTCTATAATTTCTATAATTAATTTGCCTCTGCATGTACCACGTACCGTTTTGTGCCAAACAACAGGAAAATTCGTGCGCGAACAAAAGTTTTGCGTAACAGCAATAGTTTCATCAAGATTGAGAACGACGTGCCACCATCCACCAGGTACAAAAACAGTCTCCCCAGGATTCTGGAGGACTTCAATGGGAAGGCAATCCTGAGGCCACGTTGATAATTTTGTTCTTGGATAAATGACGGAGAACCACGTGATAGCTTCATCCCGCTGTTTTCCACCCTCAGCTCCAGTAACTTTGAGGAGTTCACGGGGTGTGTGAGTGGGAAACAGACACCAGCGTTTGTGGCCTGAGATCAGAGCATTCCAGGCACTCGTACCGAGAGGATCAATGTGAATCCCTGTACCTGAACATTTAATTTAATTAATTATCCTCAACGATGGTCACAACAATGGAAAGTATTCATGAATAATTTTTTTTTCCATCGGAAAGGTACGCCCTTTTTAAAACTTAATCTTCTGTCCTAATAATAATAATTTCAGAATCACGAAAAAATCATTACCAGATCTCTCCGGTCCCATGACGAACCAACGGTAAGGCGGTCGCCGGTGTTCGCCAGCATGTTGGAATAAATCATCACGGAAGTATTTTGGAATAATATAATCATCTAGTAATTTTTTCCTACGCGGATGCTCCCCAAAGGAACTGTCAAAGATGTATAGAGGCGAGTCATCCTCGTTGTTCTGCATATACTGCACGTAATATTTCATTTTCATCTTGACACTGTATCCCTCGTTATCCTCTCCGCATTTGAATTTTTGGTTACGATATTTTTTGGCTAATCTCTGAAATAATAAACATTCAAATTTTCATTTTTTTTTCATTCCGTAGCAAGGTAATAAAAAATTATGATCCCCAATGAAAATCTAGCAATCATGAGATAATCAAGAGATAACAAAAATGAAATGAATTTTCGCAGAATCGGACAAGGAATTCATCGACAATTCTGAGAATCCATATAACTAGAACATGACTCATGTCTTGATCCATCCCTCGTTATGTTCGAAGGAATAAATACTTTGTTTATAAACAGATCTGGATGTTTTCTTCCAGCGATGTCTCAGTGTTTATGAAGGACAGATGTTTTCAATCTAATTAAATTTTTTCGTCCTCTTGAGCACCCAGGGTTTTAATGGAAAACTGGCGAATAAAATCGGAGTTTTGAGAACAAAAAGAGTTTGATAGATATGAAAATATAAGAACCTCTATTGTCCACTTGTACTGGGCCTTCCAATCCTTCTGAACATCTTGAATTATCACAGGTTTATAAATTTTTTCGTATCTCTCTATAAACTCCTCGCAGGACACCTTGGATTCATCGATCCTATCAACGTTGTCCTTGAAATCCCAGAATTTATCGAATTTCTTGAGGTATCCATGTTGCATCCATGCAGCCTTATCAGCAAGTTCTGAAGGAAAAAATCATGAAAGACCTCAGAAGGAAGTAAAATAAAATTCTCGTCATTGTTAGACTGACAAGAAACCGTCATAACTTGATTAAGGACTCATTAATATGTACTTGAGGTTATGATGATGAAGAGTCTACATTACCTGGTCTCGCTTTTCTTTTCACTTCTTTGATACGTTTTCTGGCTCGATGATCCATCTTTTGGTCGTCTCCCATGGCAGTGGTCGTTAGAAATCCTTAATACTATTATTCAAACGTTGAAAATATTTATAAATGTTATTTACAGGTATTTTTATTATAATAAATGACTCCAAAGTAACATGTGTAGAAAAATACACGTCGAAAAATTGTTAACCGTGAATTTCAGTTGACGTTTTTCACTGAAGAGGGACTTTATCAATGATCACGTGACAATCTGGGAATCCCCTCAACTGTTTATCATTTTTTAAATTAGAGCGCGCTTATTTCTTCAAAAATTATTCAATAAAAATCAATTCTAAAAATCAATTTTCTCGGGAATTTTCACCATTGGGAAATTTGATAGAATTGATTTTAATTTTAAATAATTAAATACAAAAATGGTAAGTAGAGGTTATAAATATTTATAATATATGCTTTAACATGCTTTTTTTTTTAAAGGGATTTCCTCCTTCAGCTGGTGTTCTAGTGAATAATATTTCAGTGAAAAAATTAATATTTCAATATTCGCCACATAATTCGCAACAAATTCATGAGAATTAAACCGACAACTTCATGAAAACACGACTTTATTGTTATTGTTCCCAAGAAAAATTATCTCCTAAGGTAAAAGTATGAAGACATACCCTAAAATTATAAACCGGATTGAAAAAAACCACCTGTGTTGCCATAGAAATATCTAATTTCTCTTTTTGTACAAAAATATTGTTTAAAAATATTTATTACGAAGTATTAAGTTAGGCTGCATTGAAAGGCTCGTCGTAATATCTCCTCTTCATTGTTCGGTATTTTTTCAACATGTAAAGAGCCTCGATCTCTTTCATCACGTACTGTCCACGTTCGATCATTTTATCGATCTTCTTGGGATCACTTTCAAATTTATTTTTCAAAAACGCTCTCTTCAAATTCGCTCGGAAGAAGTCGAAGCCCTGGGGGTAATCTCGGCCCATATATAGTAACTAAACAATTTAAAAAATAATATAATAATTATATTACAGAATTCTCACAATTTCACAGATATTAGAACTACTTTTCTATTTTTTTTACCGTTTTGTAAAGATTTAGAACTCTTTCTCGTTGTGACATTCTCGATGTTTTTTTTTTAGTACTGACACTCACTGACGTATTCACTGATTAAAAACAAGAATTAATCGCTTACTTGAATGATGGATACTCGCCCTGTTTAATCAGCAATAAAAACAATTTGAATAAAATAATTTTTTGGTAGCTACGAGGTAAATGAGAAATAATCAGTAATTGTTTTATCAATCATACACTGTAATCAGTGTAATTATGATATTCAAAACTTATAGTATTCTCATGATTAAAAACATGTAAAAATAAAATAAAAACGCACTTTTGCTTTCCAATGCTTTATTGTCCAATAAAGTTTCTAACAATATCAATTAATAATATTCATGGACACATGATTCATACCCACATGCATACGCACGTACACACACCTCGATACGCTTTAAATCTTCTCCAAGGTTTTAATAATTCAATCATTAAGATAACGTATTTATACATCGGTATTTATGCCCGAGAGAGTTTCCCACAGTGACTCAATCAGTTACCCATTGTCCAGGGGCGTAAATCATCGCGAATCATTATCAGAGCGAATCTATTTATAGAGAACAGATCTGTGACTCAATAAGTTTAAAAAATTGAATTAAGAGATAATAAATCAAGAAAATTCGAAGGAATAACAGGAGTGATAATTGATAACCAATTGATTATCATAAAAAATTTTTTATGCAACAGCTCGTGCCTCGGGGAGAAAACTCTCCCAGTGTTTGATGAGTTGATTCTGATGCTGAAGCATTGCCTCGAGGTATTCTGTCAATTGCTTTTTAAAATCCTCGACTCTCAGCACCTCGAATCGCTCCACCTCCTTCTTAATCATTTTCGATATGTTATCGAACTCCAACTGACCTCTTTCCACTTTTGCCTCCCATTCAGTCACCTCGTTCGCAGCTTGGGATGTCTTATCACTACGTCCAGCTTGTTCCAGTCTTGCCTTCAGTTCACGTTTTTTGTTCAGCATCATCTGAGCGTGCTGCCAGTTTTGGAACACTTTTACACGTTCGTGGAAAACCTCCTTAAACATTAGAAAATTAAAATAAAAAATTGATCTCTTGAAACCTAACGTGAAAAAACAACTGAAAAAGAAGGGATGATTTTTGTACTTTTGTACGATAATCATTTATTTAAAGAATGTAGATACTTTATTTTATAAATAAGTAGTTTTTAGAGATCCCTGCATGAAAAATTAATTAATAATTCATCGAGTAAGACGAATTATAATGAATACAATACCTTGATGGCAGCAATGAGTGCAACATAATCTCTCAGCATCTCCCCAAACTGATAAAGATCACTGTTGCCTTGTGCACGCCTGACAACTTCAACTTTTTCGAGTGTCTCGGCCAATTGTGCCAGTGCCCGTCCCAAAGACACCCCAACTTCCCCGTGACCGAGAACAGCAATTGATTTGGCAGATGCTCCAGTGCAATTAGCCAATTCACGGCGTTGATTCGTTAATGTCTCGACTGCTGAGTGCAATGCACGTAGTTGAGTATCGAGGGAATCGATCTGAGAGGTTTTCTCCTCGAACCACTGAAATTATGAAGGTTTTATACATTTTCTGGTGATGAGAGGATAATTATCCCGATGCTGTCAAGCCAAATGCTGCGATGATTCAGGCTTTTTTGTATGTCCAGTGGCATGATTGATATTTTAATGCCATTTATGAATTCAAAAAGCAGCCGATGAGTTCAAAGAGCTTTTGCAGACTTTTCGAACATTATTTTTGTTGCATAGGCATTGCTCGAGTTGAAAAACTACTTTTCTAATGATTACCAAAATAAAGATTGATTATTTATGCTTATTAAATGATCCAATAATTAATTATGAACGCTTTCCGAATATTTTCACTGAAGATTTTTTTTTAATAAAAACATTATTCACATTTCCCGATTTAAAAAAATGCAAATTTGTGAAAAAGATCGAAAAAATTGTAGATATATTTTGAATTATTCGAGGCTATGTTTAATAGAATTAAATAAAGATTCGCGACTTGGTAATCATTAATTGCTGAAAGCAGACGAAAGCCAGCGAAAACATCGATTACATGATGTGGACGTACCTTACCCTCCTATAATGCAAGCAACAGAAAATTATTCCACAGACTTAGGGTTGTTAATGCATGCAAATAGGGATGAAAATCCAATCCAGAAACTTCCATCGAAATTATCTCATTAATATTAATAAGGTTTTACAGTACATTTTATAGTTGAAATATAATTAATAAAATTGATTGGCAGTCAGTTCCGTGAACTGAAAGAATACCTGTGGCCAGTATTTTCTAATTTCACGGATATTCACAAAATAATTTTGATTGAGCTTGTGGAATTATGGATTTTTATCACTTTACTGTATCAATTTCTATTTTCGAGAGATATCCGGGATCTTACCGAATCAGTTTCGTCCATTTTATATGTTATTTTGTTGACAGTCTCCCCAACTTTGTTGAACAGGCGCATCACACCAGCACCACTGAGGGCTGAAGTACTTGTCGCTTTTGGCAATTCCATATCTAATTTTACGGAAGAGTCAAACAAAATATTCAGTGATTCAAAAATTTCCAGGAATTAATACAGAGATACTCTGTCATCGATAACGAATTTGTATGAATTTAAATTGATGATTGAGATTCTTTGATGATAAGTTGTGTAATAATGGCTTTTGGAGAATATTTTATCTTTTAAAAAATTAATTACCAGCTTCCAAAAATTCTCTAAAATCAGGATCACAACACAAGACAGTATGTGCAGCAGTTCTATTGAGATATCTCTCCAGTGCAGCTCTGCGTCGTTCAATGAATTCCGTTGAGCTGGAATTCTGCTCCTGATTTTTATCTCCCGACATTTTTATTTTTGTCATTCCTGTAATAAAATTATGAAGCGAATTCTCATAAGAATGAAGGACTAGACTTTCAAAAACTTTTTGATTCTAAATTAAATAAATCAAAGTCCGAAAAATTGACTTATTTTTTATAAAATAAGTTATTGATCAATTTTATAATACCTATAACACTTTTTTCAGGCGCTGGTGGGATAATTCTTCCACTCCTCAGGTACTTTTCTACTAGCTTGTCGTGAAGTCCGAGGAAATCTGAGAAACGTCTCGTGACACTGAAACTTCTTTTTCTGAATATTGGCATGTTTGTTTTAGTTTCCACTCTGTAAGCCACATAAGCTCCCATTCCTTCCCCAATTTTTTGAGGGGAAGTTATTGTGATTTGTAGGAACGCATCTGTTGTTTCTGTTGGAATCTGGAACACCGATAAGATTATAAAAAATTATGGCTTCGGATTGAAGGATAGACTCAGTTGAATGCAAATTAAATTCTTTATCTATCCACTAATAACCAAATTCCAGAATGACTCATTTCGGAGTATAATATTTTACAAGAATCTAAGAAAAATGTATGGAAAATAAAATTTCATAATGAATTAGCTGGGTCTTATTAAAATTCTTTGATTCGTCGTGCAATATTTTCCAACAAACTTTCTGAGAAAGAAAAATTCTTACTTCCTCCATCTGTTGAACTTGCTTTCCCCCAGTCCCGCCTGAGCTCTGATTATCATTGATAGGGACTTCTTGCAGATCGCCAATTTCATTAGGTACAAATCCAAGAGGAGAAGTCAAAGGTCCAGGAGTGGGACTGGAGACAGTGGAATAAGACGTGTCCTCTGGAGCATCTCGAAGTGTCAATTTGGGCAGCTCTGCTTGAACACTCGTCACTCCATTGTACGAGTTACTTCCAATCAACGGATTCTGCTCCTAACCAATGGAAAAAAAATAGCATGCCTAACTGATGAAAATCCAGGACAAGTGTAGAATTGTTTTGACGAATTGAATACCTGAATGGCCGAGGCAAATATATCCTCGTCGTCGTCCTCAATGTCCTCGTTTTTTTCGATATCAACGTTGTCAAATAGCGGTGGTGGTTCTTTATTATCAGCCATCTTTGACGTATATGTCAAGCCGACAAGTTGACAGGGATCAACGTTGAACGGGCTCGGCCCCCTTGGATATTATTTATCGCGTCGAATCGAATGGCCAGAGATTTATGAAGAATACTGAGATTGCAAACGCTGTGAGAAAAACAGGCTCATCTCAGCATCGGTTATACCAAAGAGGATTGACTGAAGTAGAGGCTCAGTTCTGGGGGTTTGAGTGACCTCCGTGGGATCGTAGTACCTTACCCCAAGAAATAGAATGCGCCACACGCAATGCTGGGGTGTCTGCCCATCAGCTGACTCGGTAACTGCCTCAGTAGCAGTCCTGCTGTCAGAGAGACCAGTCGACTGAGAGAATGTTATTTAGAATTTTCAATTTC